GTGTTTGTAAAAAGCAGAGCGACTATGGCTATCCGAGTACAGGTAGTGTTACAGTCCCTTCAGCAGTGTCAAGTTGACTGTCTGTATACCGAAGTGGTGAAGTATTTGTACAGTAGTGCTACGATAGCTATCCGAGTACAGAACCAGAGTTCAAAACCTATCCAACTGCAGAGAGGTGTAAGGCAGGGTAACGTTATATCCCCGAAACTCTTCACCGCTGCACTGGAAGACGTTTTCAAGCTACTGGAATGGAAAGGACACGGTATTAATATCAATAGCGGGTACATCACACACCTTTGATTTGCCGCGATATAGTGCTTATGGCTGAATGGCTGGAGGACCTAAGCACTATGCTCAATGACTTCAATATTGTCTCCCAACGGATGGGTCTTAAGATGAATATGGACAAAACAAAGATCATGTTTATTGTCCATGTCACACCTATGCCCGTAGTTGTTGGAAGCACTATTCTCGAAGTTGTTGACGAGTACGTATACCTGGGAAAAATAGTCCGACTAGGTAAGTCCAACATCGACCGAGAGGTCAATCGACGGATTCAACTCGGCTGGGCAGCATTTGGGAAATTACGACACATCTTCACGTCAGGTATACCTCAAAACCTGATAACTAGATTGTCAAACCAGTGCGTGGTGCCATTGATGACTTACGTATCTTCACTGATGGCCGTACGAGGACGTTCAAGGTCGCTCAGCAAGCTATGGAGAGGGCTATGTTCGGGGTTTCTCTGCGTGATAAACTTACAAATGAGGATATCCGGAGTAGAACCAGAGTGACCGACATAGCCCAACGGATTAGTAAGCTGAAGTGGCAATGGGCCAACCATATATCTCGAAGAACCGACAACCGATGGGGAAAACAGGTTCTTGATTGGTAGCCTCGTACCGGTGGGCGTGGTATAGGGCGACCCTCCAGTAGATGGAGTGACGACCAGGTAAGACTTGTGAAGGGCTGTAATGATGATGATAAAAGAATTATATTTCAAAGATATCTGGAGAGCGGGGTGGATATTTGATTTATCTAAAACCATCTTAGAAGTAAGAGGAGCCCTGCACTCAGCAACGGGAAGTATATAGGGCATAATGATTTCTTATATTTACGCGAACACTACACATTGATTAAAACTACTTTTACGGATTTTATCGCGTTTATTTTACTTTTAATTACTTTTATTTTTAATTCCCGACGTTTCGGGCGATGTCCCGATGTCATTGTTAAACACCTGGCCGCCGAGCTTCAGCACGTCAAGCAAGTTCTGCACGACAACAAGCTTCGGCAGTTTGCGATCATATCCTAGACGGCCCCTACTATTATATCAGATTTGATAAACCAGAAATTCTCGCGAAAGAACACCGATTCCTACCAATGATGATACGTGAGGATATTGAAATTAAAAAAAAAAAACGTCCTAATTTCAATAGAGAAGGAGGTTGGGTATTACCACCTGCGTGGGATTCTATATTCAATAAAATTAAAACTAAACCCAAGCATACCACTGCAAGACCTCAGGACATAGTCAGTTCATTTTGCATAGATCGGACTATAAACAATAATTAAAAAAGCTAAAGGTACTCGGGGTTTAACAATGACATCGGGATGTCAGTCATCTCAGTCCCCCGTGACCATGGGTGCTGGAAAGCGCCCGAAACGTCGGGAATTAAAAATAAAAGTAATTAAAAGTAACATCAACGCGATAAAATCCGTAAAAGTAGTTTTAATCAATTTATAGGGCATAACTTTTCCTTTATTTAGAACTGTTTGTTTGAGAGTCCTGTATGTAAACTAAGAATGAAAATTTGTTTTCTACTTTCCATTAATTTAAACTAAACTAGCTAAATGCGAGTTGGGCCACGCCCCAATTATGATTGGGGAAGTTTTAAATTCCTAACTAGTTTAGGTTTCCAATACAACTTGTAACAAAAACGGTCTATAACTGATATACAAAAAAGTCCCGAAACCAAGAAAATCTGATGATCTGTTTGGAGATAATCAGATAGCTGAACAGATTTTCTCTAATCCTAGTTAAGAATAGTCTCGATCAAGTCACCTCTTTAACCAAAGAAAACTAAATCAGAATCGGTTCATTTGTTTCATCACTACGATATCACAGACATACAGACCGATACACAAATACATATATTATTTAGCGGAAGGTTGCAAAGAAATTTATATTTTTATTTTTTATTATAATGGATTTCCGCAAAGTAAGGCCTGATTCTATCAAATAACAAATACACACGTTAAACTTATAACACCCCTTTTTAGCATCGGGGGTTAAAAATTTACAACTTTAATTTAAGACCTTTGAAGATAAAGATAATGAAAAGTACACTTCGATGCCTCCTATGTATAAAGCAGCAGGAATTTTTTTAATATTTTTGGCTCAAAATAGTAACAAATAGCCTCTTTATACATTTCTAAAACCAAAATCTTAAGTAACAGTTACAGCCTATTAAAGTATACTGCTTAACACAGGCTTCCCCCATAAATTGCCTCATATCAGGGATATTTTCGACAGTTGACAACTGTGGAAAATGTACCCCGCTTAAAATCTTAATATTTTGAATATTTTTGTACACTGCTCAATAATATGTATACAATGAACGCCCATTGCATATATTTTTGTGTATATATTTTATGCATATTTTTGTATAGTATGTACCAAAAAATAAATATTTTTATGGTTAAAAAAATAGTTAAGTTATTGCGATTTACGCCAAATTTATAACGAAGTCTTTGTTTTAATAAGAACTTTTTTCTTTTTACGTGAACAAAAGGCTGTGAAATTTCTGTGAAGTTATTGCAACAAGGTGGAAACGACATCCATTAAAACTCGTGAGAATAGGATTAATATTACGAGCATTTATATAATAAACAGAGTCGTTTAATCATTTTAAAAGCTTTTATTAGCTTTACCTGCATGCGTGTGAACTGAAAGTGAGCAGTAGCATCATCCTAATAACAATTCAAAGTAATAAAGTATTGCGGTCTTCAATAAGCCTTCCAAACATGGCAACTATGGCAAATATCTAATGAAATGGTGGTGAAAGACGTTCAGTAATGGATTTTTGATAGGTTTTAATGCAGGTATAAATATAACATCAATTTTTACTTCAATTTTAACTTCCGAAAGTCACTATTTAAAATCGATGACAATACATATTGATTTAATTAAATCAATCAATTAATGACGATATACACGATTTTTCTGCCATCAGGCTACTTTGGAATGAGTTGAAATAATTCAGAGATTTCATAGCGGGAAAGTTAATTTGTTAGAAAAATGGGGTTATTACTTTTATCCACACTAAAAATCCACCCGAATACTCGGAAACGAGTGTTCATCTAACTAACACACACGGGGTGGATAATCAGAATTTACTTTTATTAGTTATTCCGACTTTTTACGCCAAGTACAGTTCAAATCATACACTTTAACTATTATTAACTTTTAAAACCATAATCTCAAACAAAATATTACACAATGCATTGAAATCAATTAAAGATTCTCGATATAAATACATACTATTATTATTAAGTAATTTATAAATTTTGCAATATTTCCAGGAAATTGCCCTCATTATTATTATTGAGTAGATGTAATTTAATATCCTGGATGAATTCTTCATTTTTAATGAACAGTTGGAATAGTTTTCCAAATTTCTTTGCTACGGCAGATGTTTTAGCAAAAATACTAGACGCTTTTGCAAGCATTCCAAAAACGTTAGTTTTGGATGTTTGTCTTTAATTCCATTTCAAATTGTTTAGTGCCAAGATTCCTAACAATCTGTTATCCTGTGAAGTACTTTAATTTCAGCGTTGACTTATCAAATAAAAAGTAGGTGTATCCTATACCTTTAATTATCCTATACCTTTAAACGAGCAATTCTTGTATATATGTATATATATAATCGGAATCTCGGAAACGGCTCCAACGATTTTCATAAAATTTAGTGTCTAGGGAGTTTCGGGGGCAATAAATCGATCTAGCTAGGATTTATTTTTAGAAAATGTCTTTTTGTCCGTGTTTTCAGGCAATAAAAAACTGCTACAATATCGTTAGAATAAGAAGGTAAATTTTGACAGTTTGTTAATGATTATAAATAGTTTAATTGGTATATTGGGCGGTCACAAAATCGTAATACCATGGTTCGAGTCCAGACCGACCGCCTGACTTTTTTAGTTTTTTTTTCAAGTTCCTTTTTATTTTTTGAGAAAATCTATTATTTCGAGCCCTTTTTTTAGTATTTTTTAAAAAAAACACGAAAAGTTAAATTAAACTAATTGTACTCACGATTTTTTATTCAAATAACTAGTTCAGTTGTTTCTATTACGTCAATAAGATCAAAAAATATTATTCATGTAATTTGTATCTAAATGTAATTTAAAAAAAACCGAGCAAAGCTCGGTCATCCGGGTACTATTTTTATAAGTATGCTAACATCCACTAAGTATCGGGCTAGTTTTTATTATGTTTATATAAATGGCTGTACACAGCCGAGGGAGAAAATCGAAATAAAAATAATATACGAGTTCCGAATATCCACTCTACACGGGGTAAACACACGTTTTGGAGTATCTACCCCGATATTGATTTTTTAGGGTGGATAAAGAGAATAACCCGAAAAATGTATGGGATAATGTTTCTTTACGGTAATATTATGTTTTTTTTTAATTAATTAGATTATAATATATGAATAAACCAAACTACGGATATTCCTAAAAATAGAAAAATTAAAAAAAGACTTAAAAATGCAAAAATTTAAAACTACTGGACTAGGTTCTGTATTTAGAGTTCTTTAACCAATCTTAAGACTCACTGTGGCTCTATTAGTATTGGATCTTGGTCTAAAATGTCCAAGGTAAACCGTGTTGTAAGTGGTGTACTTGGTTTGAAGTAAAATGCGGGAATAAATAAAAAAAAATATATTTTTACTGTACAGCTATTAAATATAATCTTAAAATAATCACGCAACAAAACATCACCAGCCACTGGAGTAGCCACCAGAGTAACCACCGTGTCCGCTTCCGAAACCACCGCTGTATCCGCCGCTGTATCCACCGCTGTATCTACCGTTGTATCCGCTGCTGTATCCGGAGGAGAAGCTGGGAGCGGCCACTACTTTGTTAACGGACACAACTTGAGGCACGGAGACGACCTTGTTGACGCTGACTACTTGTGGGACGCTCACAACCTTGGGCACGTTCACAACTTTGTTGACGGTGAAGAGCTGAGCTGATGGCGCGGAGTAGCCACCTAAGCCAGAGTAGCCACTGTAACCGGAGTAGCCGCCTAAGCCAGAGTAGCCACGGTAGCCGGAGTAGCCACCTAAGCCAGAGTAGCCACTGCAGCCAGAGTAACCACCGATGCCTCCGTAGTGTAACCCACTGAGGTAGCCGCGCTTTTCACGCACGTTTTCTGCAGCGGCACATGCCACCAGGCAGAGTACTGCGATCTATTTAGAAAAAGTTGAAATATAAATGGCTATTTAATACGTTAATGCTATGATAAAATAATTTTTATGTAATAAAAGTGACAAACGATCACGAAGTCCACCTGATGGTTAGGATACTGTGGCCCACAGACATCTACATTTCTCCTCGATTATGAATCAAAATGCAGATGCGCTGTCACTACCGAGAACTAAGTTAGAATGCCTCGTTTCCAGTAAAATGAGTTTCTGGTTTTCTACACTCTCCATTCGAAACACAGCAGCATAAAGCTGCTATTCTACGCTTGTATTCTGTAAAAGCGTATACGTATAAATAGCTGCGGCATGATTTTACTAAGTATAATACCAATATTTTAAAAATGAAACAGTAAATTTGTTGAAATCTGTATCCAAAAAGTTTAATGTTTGAACGTCATTGATTTTATTTGATTTAACATATTAGTAGATTTATTTAACATTTCCATAGTCTGCAAAATATATATATATATATAAAAAAAAAAAAATATATTAAAAATAATATTGCCCGATATTTTTCTCATTAAATATGTAAATTATGTTGATACTTACGAAGGATTTCATGTTTCTGTAGTGTGGTTTGTTTAACTGGTGAGAAGAAGATATGTTCGGACAGTTTTCTGCGCAGATATATATATATATATATATATATATATATTACCGCTGCTCGATATTTCACAATGCGTCCTCGTTGACCCAATGTCAAGTAACATTTTGCACTACATACATCCTAGGATAATCGTTCTTGCGGCGGTGCTTGTTCTTTAATTTAAGGAAAGAGTTGCGTTTGGCCATTTTTATATTTGATTTATGCTAATTATATTTGTTTTTGAACGTTAACAAAACTTGTATTTATTCTATAGAATAAAGTTAACAAACGAGTACACAGATCACTTTATGGGAATTGGATGTTGTGGCCCATGGACATCTAAATATGTCACTCCAGAAGAATAAAGTAGAATGTCTCGTATCCCGTAAAAAGTTTCTCCATTTCTATATATTCACAATATGAAACACAGCTATTTTAAGCTGGTATCTTGTGAGAACGTGGTCCTTCCCAGGTCGTGTCCAGCGATTAGCGCTTCAACTATGATATAGCTGCAGCGTATCTCTACCACAAAAAACGTATAAATAGCCTTATAATGTGTTCCTGTTGTGTTGTGTCTGTCTGTTTTTATAGTCCGATGGGATCATGGGCTAATCCAACATGACCGGAGAGAGATCAGGCTCAGGACCAACAGGTGTAAGTGCTTACCGAGGAACGGGGGTGAAATACCGCTAAGTTTCTGTCGCCGGGCTGCTCCTGAGAATTTCTTGACAGAAAAACCCCATTACTGATTTTGGCATGACCCGACCTGGGATTCGAACCTGGGGATCATGATCTGCATTTACGACCACTGGCCCACGCGGTGATCACGGATATATTAAGCAAATATTCAAATAGAAGTTTAGAAAATATTAATTCGAACTTGTTTACGGCCTGGCCACCGGGATCGGCGGCGCGAACGACGTAGCGACCGGCGGGGCGAAAATTCGCGCGGCGCGATTTGAGGGCCACGGGAAGTCACGTTTGCCGCCGCGACCAGATAGGCCGAGAGTGAAATGTCTTTATCAAAGTTATGTCGATAATTGCTTAGAAAGTAATTGTTTTTTGATTCAAGACATAATATTTGGATGAGATTGCGGAGTTAAAGTTAAAGTTACAGCCTATATACGTCCCACTGCTGGGCACAAGCCTCCCCTCATTTCTGAGAGGGTTTTAGGGCAAGGAAGTGTCCGCCGCGCTGCCCCAATGCATGTTGACGAACTTCACATGTTTTAGAAAATGAATCTAGCTTGTGAAAAAAAACCTCCTTAAGATCAGGAAAACATACATCAGCATTCATGACTCAGAATTCAACATTATTGACTATAATAATAGAAAAAATAAGAGATTTATATATAAATAAAATATTATAAATAAGCCAATATAAATAAGATATTCTATATAAGCATTTATTTCAGACGCAATAACTTTAATGGATATCCTCCATAGATCTGCTGATCTGCTGATTTATAAAATTTTAAACTTATAATATTAACTAAAGATCTATATAAACACTCAGTATTGTTTTTATATGGAAGAAATTGATTTTTTTTACTATAAATACTTCTAAATACTTTAAGTGTTATGAAGGTATATTATAGAAAAAAGCACAAATTTCTTGTGTGAAATAATAACGCAAAAGTAAATAAAAATATATTATATTTTACTTTACTATATACATTTTGAAACATCACTTTCTACAAGTGACTAGATAACAATCGTTAGTGGCGATCACCACCAGCCACTGGAGTAACCACCGGCTGAGTAGCCATACCCGCTTCCTAACCCGCTGCCGTATCCGCCGTTGTAACCGACAGAGTAGCTGGGGGCGGATACTACTTTGTTAACGGAAACAACTTGGGGCACGGATACGACCTTGTTTACTCTGACTACTTGTGGGACGCTAACAACCCTGGGCACGTTGACGACCTTGTTGACGGAGACCACTTGAGCCGCGGGTGCGGAAATGCCGCCTAAGGCAGATATTCCGCCGTATCCAGAGTAGCCGCCTAAGGAAGAGATTCCGCCATAGGCGGAGTAGTCGCCACCGACGGAGTGCAGACCGCTGAGGAAGCCGCGCTTCTCACGCACGCTCCCGCCCGCCGCACAAGCCATAAGGCATAACACTGCGATCTGTATAGAAAATTAAATATATATTAGGTTAATAATTACTTTAAATGTATAGTTCTTACTGTATTTTACGTGGCAGACTCTGCAGATTTTGCAGCAAAAATAAGTCTGCCTGATCGTAGAAGTACAACTCTCACAGAATACGAGCGTAAAATAGCAGCTTAATGCTGCTTTTTGTGGTGAGTGTTTAGAACTGGAAACCCTTTTTACTGGTAACGAATCGTTTTATCTTAGCCACTACACCAAAGGGCTTAGCACCTACATTTTGATGATCTACATAGAAGTAGATGTAATGATTAATTGTTATGAAAGAAATGAAGACAAAATATTAAAAGTACCCGGTTGACCGAGCTTTGCTCGGTATTTTTCGCTTGGTTATTTTTAATTCGTGTGTTTTGGAAATTATAATATTTAGATACAAATTACATACTGATGAAATACGAATAATATTTTTTGATCTTAGCGACATAATAGAAAAAACTGAACTGGTTATTTGAATAAAAAATCATGAGTACAATTAGTTTAATTTAAATTTTCGTGTTTTTAAAAAATACTAAAAAAAAGGACTCGAAAAAATAGATTTTCTCAAAAAAAGAAAGGAACTTGAAAAAAAATTAAGAAAAGTCGGTCCGGTCGGTCTGGGCTCGAAACATGGTATTACGATTTTAGGACCGCCCAATATACCAATTAAGCTATTTGTAATCTTTAATAAACTGTCAAAATTTACCTTCTTATTCTAACGATATTGTAGCAGTTTTTCATTCCCTAAAAACACGGACAAAAAGACATTTTCTATAAATAAATCCTAGCTAGATCGATTTATTGCCCCCCGAAACTCCCTGCACACAAAATTTTATGAAAATCGTTGAAGCCGTTTCCGAGATTCCGATATATATATATACAAGAATTGCTCGTTTAAAGGTATAGGATATAGGATATTATTCACTTTCTATATATAAGGCTTCAATGAAAATTAATCTAAAGCTTGAACTCTATCAACTGAATTGTTACTAAATGCTATATATACTAAATAAATTAAATACATTTTCTACAATTTCAAAAAACGAGAATACTCACAAAGGCTCTCATGGTTGTGTTAGACGATTAGATGTACTAGAGAGTGATATCTAGTTATGCACGGTCAGTCTTTCGCGCCAATATATATATCAGAGATATGCGATGTCGCAACGCGTCCTCGCCCATCGAATGTCACATAAAATTTTGCTCGTGTGATTTTGTATTCATAATTTTGTCAATGACTTTTGTTATAACTGCAGCCTGCCGAGTTTTACTCTTAAATTCTTATATAAAAGTAATGTATAGTTACAGCATATATACTTCCCACTGCTGGGCACAGGCCTTCCCTCGTTTCTGAGAGGGTTTTAGGGCAAGGAAGTGCCCGCCGTGCTGCCCCAATGCGTGTTGGCGAACTTCACACGTCTTCGAAATTTTTTTTTCTTATTCTCCAGACATGCAGGTTTTCTCACGATATTTTCCTTCACCGCCGAGCACGTGGTAAATCAGCACTTTTGCAATTAACAATTTCATCGGTGCCGGCGGGGATTGAACCCGGGTTACTCGCGTTCTGTTATATTTACAGCGAGCGTTAATCATCTGAGCTACCACGGCTCTCTTATATAAAATAACAAAAATTAATAGTACTAGATGATCTAGGTTGTTAACACGTGAGACAAACGAAGAAAAAGTACATCTGATGGTTAGTGGATGCCTATCAATGAGCACGGTTCCATGGCGCAGGGCTTAGCATTGGGTTGCAGCGCCAAGAGCCGCGGGTTCAAATCCCGCATGGAAGAAGTATTTTTATGGCCCACAAATAATTGTTACGGATCTAAATGTTTGTTCTTGTGCAATTTATGTTTGTAAACTGCCTTCAAATATAAGAGAAAATCCAAGAGTGGGGGTTAATAAAAATGCAGTATAGCTACTGATTTCTTAAATTTACGCGAACACTACAGATTGAATATAACTAAATTTACGGATTTTTATCGCATTAAATTAACTACTTTTACTTATTTTTAATTCCCGACGTTTCGGGTGCTTTATTATTTATATGGTCACGGGGGACTGATATATTTGACGTCCCAATGTCATAGTTAGTCCGGCTACCTTCTGTTTTTTAATATTAATTGTTCGGTCCGATTTACGCAAAACGAGCTTACAGTATCTTGAAGTCTTGCAGTGGCATGCTTGGGTTTGGGTTTAATTTTGTTAATTATAGGATCCCAGGCAGATGGCAGTACCCATTCATCTTCGCTATTGAAATTAGGATGTTTTTTAATTTCAATAGCCTCGCGCATCATCCATGGTAGGAATCGGTGTTCTTTTGCGAGGATTTGAGGTTTATCAAATCCGATGTAATGGTGGGGACGATCTTGAACATGTTCACAGACTGCAGACTTCCCGGAGCGTCGGTGCTTCACGTCAGCTATATGTTCTTTCACGCGGGATTTTATGGATCTTTTTGTTTGACCTATGTAAGAGAGACCACATTCACAATCTAACTTGTACACTCCTGCTTCTTGTAGAGGGATATTATACTTGACGGATGGTAAAAATTGACTATTCGTCTTCGGCGGCTTGTAGTATGTTTTAAATGGAAGCTTACTTCTATATGTAGCCAACCTTGTCTGTGACTCCTCTGACATATGGTAGTATAGCAGGCACACGCTCGACTGTGGCCGGCTTCACTCGTTCACTGTGACGTAGGCGCGGGACCCGAAGCTTGTTGTCTTGCAATACTTGCTTGACGTGCTGAAGTTCGGCGGCCAGATGTTTTTGTCACAGATCCTTCGTGCTCTCTGAAACAAAGATTTACCCACGGTAGCTAACTGCGAAGGATGATGGTGAGATTGACCTTTTAAATATCGGCTGGTATGGGTCTTTTTCCTATACACAGTGTGACCAATAGTGTTATCAGGATTTCGGATGACTAAACATCTAGAAAGGCTAAAGAATTATTTGCCTCTAACTTCATTGTGAATTGTATTTTAGAGTTTATAGGGTTAAGATGGTCTAAAAATGCAGTACCATCTGACAAAGTAACTGTAGTAACTATCTAGATGTTCATCAGCTGTCAGTGCCATACCCCACGGTTAATCTAAGTAATTATGTAAATATTAGTATGCAAGCAAAAATTAATTTATTAAATATCATCTAAAGAGTTTATCTTTTCTGCTAACATAACCAAGTTGCAATGAATTTTAATGAATCACATATTAGTAAAAAGTAAATAAACAATCTCATATTTTATATGAGTACTAAGGTACAAACAAAATAATAATTAATAATATCGTTCCTCTCTCTTATGATGTGTAACGCATAACTGTAAGAAGTAGTTGTGTAGTAAGTGTAATACGTGTGAGCAATTAAAGAAGAAGAGTGTGTAAAATGTGTGCGTGTCTTAATATTTTTTTATATGGGTTTTATTACGGGTGCAAGTTTTATAAGATATTATGAATACTAAGTAGGTTTTCAGTTTCAATATAAGTTAATTTTTGCAGGTAACTAAGTACAGTTTTTTTACACTCTGTTTTATTAAGGTGGTAAATGTTTAATTTTTTATTATATAAGTCCTAAAAATTTCCTAGTTCCTAAAAATGGAGAAGAATGAAAAATAATCTAATGTATAAAATTCCCGCGACCACACAGGCCAGAAAGATGCAAAGTCAAAGATGCAAGTTGTATTGTATTGCGATCGTCAATTTGTTTGCAAACCGTGAAAATTATAATAAATCACTTCCGAAGTGGGAGAGGTCCATGTCTTGCAGTAGAATTTTACGGGCTAATGATGAAGGATAGAAGAAGAGTTGATATTTTTTTATAGGATTGGGTGACAAACGAGCCCACCTGATGGTAAGTGATTGCTGTGGCCCATGGACATCTACATCTATCCTCGATTACGAATCAAAACGCAGATGCGTTGTCACCAGTGAGGACTAAGATGGAATGCCTCGTTTCCAGTAAAAAGGGTCTTTCTTTCGTTCTCTACACTCACCGTACGAAACACAGCAGCATTAAGTTACTATTTTACGCTGGTATTCTGTGAGAGCGTGGCCCTTCCCCGGTCGAGGTGACCCATTCGTGCTACAACTATACTACTAATATAACTGCAGCATGGCTCTACCACGTATATAATACAGTGATTTTAGTGTTATAAAGTAATGCGATAAAATTCTGAGCCCTTCCAATCTTTAGAGTAATGCGACCGTCTCTGACACACTCCACACTTCAGATCCACTCTTGCAAGTTGCTTTGTTAATTTTCATTGCAAAGTTGTTGGTGTAACGTTTTAAGCGAATTCGTAGGATAAAACCCCTCATCTACATCATAACCAACGTTAATATCTGTGTCTAGCACATTCTTTTAAGGAAAAACTAATTTGAGCAGCGAAACAAACTAAATTTTCATTACTGCCTATAAAAGTCTAGTGTTGAACATGGGCCCTCCATATATTTCCTAACAGGGGGAAGTTTCTTATAAAATAAGCTAGACGACTCAAAAAAAATCTGCAACTGTAGTGGAAAATTGATTATTAGTAGTAATGCGAGAAATTCTGCACGTTCCAAAAAGCACACCCTCTCAGAAGTATGAAGATGAACATAGGTCTCTCACATAGATAGCGTCGATATTTGCGATTGTTGCCACGCTTGGTAAGCGAGGTCGCAGCCGTAGTTTGTTTAGTCGTTATTAGGAAGGCTCTGCTACCTATCTCCCAGTTTGTTTGGTTCTGTGGGATGCTATGGTATAGTGGATATTCTCACACCGCCGCTACACGTGTAAACATTGTACAACTTAAATCTTTCATTTGATTGTTATTTTTTCTATACATCACAAGGTTTTACGAATAATAAATTAAAAAAAACATAGTAAAATTTACATTGCTGTATGAGTTATGCCGCCTAATCAGCAGTAGTTATGAAAATAATCTAATAAGTAATTATTTGTGAGAAAACCAAAGAGCATAGAATAATCACTACGTTTTATTGATGACAGTAACATTCCTTTTATGTTTAACTCGTGTGAAGCTAAACTAAACTGACAAAAGTTCTCGAAGTAAGAAAGATATTTAGGAATTTGATATTTTTAATATAACCATTAGCCGAGTACACACCGCACGGTTCCACGCGCTCCAATCACGCGCAGCAGGAGCGCGCTCCACAGGCGCGGTTGGTGTGGACTGTGGCCGTGCCTGGCGCAATCCAAGCCGCAAAATTCGAGCATGCACTCGTTGCCGCGAGCGATCCATTCGTGGTCGGTTTTGCGATCATCCTTAAAGGGGCTTCGGTCACTTGTGCGCGGTGCTGACGTTTGCGAGTGGATCATGTGAAATGATAAGCCATAATGAAATTATAAGGAGTATAAAAGCTTATGGTACCCTAATAACACCAATTATTAGGTGTTAAATGTAATTAAATGATAATCCCTTTATAAGGAGTATAAAAGCTTTTAGGACCCTAGGACCAATTACACAAATAAAGGTGTGAGAAACGATGCTTGGCGATACATTAGTCGTGAAACGGATTTACTCAGTCGAGGCATTAAAGAAATAAAATAGATCTTTGTCGGGAGGATAACGGTTTTCGTGATTTTAAAAGAATATAGGTTGTTGCTGTCACGCAAATTTGCCGCCATTGCTGCACGTGTGACCGTAGCGAGAGTTCAACTAATTGATTCAGGAATCAACTGGAGCATGTTGGAGCAGCCCGACAGTATCCTATCCAGATCAGAATAGTATGGTTCATGATCAATGCTTCACAATCCTAGATCGCGGCTATTGTCTCAATACTATTATTTATTTAATATAATTGTTTTAAGTATAAATATATTATTATAAATCGTAATTTTACACACTAATAATTTTATTACTATTTTACTATTTCTGAGATTTAATGGCGCCGTTGAATATATTTTGAACATATCATATCTTTTGATACAATTAACCGATTTTAATAAAACAAAGATTAAAGGTAACGCGAAGACACGCTTTATGAATTTATTAGCGATTACATTGAAAAAAAATGTTTACTTGATACCTAATAAGTTTATAAAGAAACAGACAGATAATTCTA